TAGGTCTTCTTCGTTCAACTTTGGTAATTCATATGTATCTAGGAATCTGTCCATTTCTTCTGTGTTTTCCATCTTATTGGCATATAGATTCTTGATGTAGCTATTGATGATCCTCTGGATTTCTGCTGGGTCTGTTGTAATTTCACCCTTTTCACTCCTAATTGCATGCATTTGTGCCTTTTCTTTCATTTTTTTTAGTAAGATTGCCTAAGGTGTTGTCAATTTTGTTGATTCTTTCAAAGAACCAACTCTTGGCTTCATTGATTTTTGTATCGTTCTCTTAGTATCCACTGAGTTGATTTCTGCTCTGATCTTTATAATTTCCTTCCTTGTATGAGCTTTGTGTGTGTCCTGCTCTTCCTTTTCTAGAAGCTTGAGGTGCAGCATCAGGTTGTTTCATTGGGCTGGCTCTGTTTTCCTAATATGAGTATTCACTGCTATGAATTTCCCTCATAAGACTGCTTTCATTGTATCCCATAGATTTCGATATGTTGTATTGTCATTGTCATTTAATTGAAGAACTGTCTAATTTCTTCTTTAATTTCCTCTGTGACCCATTGTTTATTCAGAAGTGTGTGGTTTAATTTCCATGTGCTTATGAAATTTTTGCAGTTGCTTTTGCTATGGATCTCCAATTTCCTCACACTATGGTCTGATAATATACAGGGGACAACTTCAGTTCCTTTGCACTTACCTAAATATGTTCTATTAGCGAGTATGCGGTCTATTTTGGAGAACAACCCGTGTGCAGCTGAAAAGAATGTGCATTCTGATTGTGTGGGGTGGAAGACTCTGTAAACATCTGTTAAGTTCATTTGTTCAAGAGTTTGATTGAGTTCTAGTATTTTACTGCTTGTTTTTGTGTAGTTGATGGATCCATTTGTGACAGTGGGGTATTGAGTTCCCCCACTACTATTGCATTAGTGCTGATATGATTTTTCATGTCCGTTAGTATTTGTTTTATATAGTTGGGCACACTAGTATTTGGTGCATAGATATTTATGATTGTCATCTCTTCCTCTTGGATTGTTCCCTTTATAAGAATGTAGTGTTCTTCTTTGTCTCTCTTAATCAGTGTTGGTTTGAAATCTACTTGATCTGCAAAGAGCATAGCTACTCCTGCTTTTTTTTTTGGTTTCCCATCCCATGGAGCATGGTTTTCCATCCTATAACTTGCAGTCTGAGTTGCTTTTTTAATGGTGTTTCTTGTATGCAGCATATTGTCGGATCTTGCTTCTTGACCCATTATGTCAATATATTTCTTTTGATTGGTGAATTGAGACCATGAATATTGACTGTTTTAACTGATATGTATTGACATCATTGTCATGACTTTTTCTTTTTGTTGGATTCTCCCTCTTTGCATCTAATTTCTTGTCGTGCCTGATGGGTTCTTTCTGCTGTGCTTCCTGGAGTTGTGATCTTCCTTGTCTTTTCATAGAATATTGTCTAAAATTTTTGGAGTGCTGGTTTGATATTCATGAAGTTTTTGAGGTGCTCTTTGTCATGAAAGTATATTATTTCACCATTAATTTTTAAAGATTGTTTTGCAGGGTACATCAATCTGGGTTGGAGGCTGTTTTCCTTTAGGGCTTGGAATATGTCACTCCAAGTTCTTCTTGCCTTGAGTGTTTGCGTTGAGAAGTCTGTTGTGACTCTGATGGGCTTTCCTTTGTATGCGATTTGTTTCTTTTCTCTAACTGCTTGTTGAACTTTGTTCTTCTGTTGGGTTTCTGGAATCCTAACAATTATATGTCTATGTGTACATTTTTTTAATCAAATGTAGTTGGAGTCCTATATGCCTCACTTATCTGTATGTCAAATTCTTTCCCCCTGCTTGGGAAGTGTTTGGCCATCACTTCTGTGAACAGTTTTTTAGACATCTGCACTCTCTCCTGTTTCTTTATTGACTCCAATCAGTCTTACGTTATTCTTCTTTGCATTGTCTAGCAGTTGCTGGATTGATTTCTTGTTGTGCCTTACCATTTGGAAGCAATTTTTCTTTTCCTGGTCACTAATTGCAATCTTATCTTCTATATCTGAAATTCTGTCCTCACATTGTCTCATTCTGCTGCATAAACTTTCAATGGAGTTATTAATCTCCTGGAAATCTGTTTGCATTTGTTTTATGGGTTCCATTTGTTTCTTATAGTGGGATTCCATCATGTTCCTCAATTCCTCTATTTTTTTTTGTCTGTGTCCTCTCTAGATTTATTAATCATGTCTTACACTATGGGCACAATCTCTGCTCTTACGTGAGAAATTGTTTCTGATTTCATTTTTTCCAGATCCTCTTTCGTTGCTATTTCAGGGAGTCCAGATTGTCGAGTGTCAGAGTGTTCCATCTCATTTCCCTTTGAGGTTGCTGTAGGTGATCTGGTAGTCTGTTTCTGAGGCTTGTTTATCCGTCTTCTCATTTCACCGGGTGGGGCTGGTGGTGGGCTGCTGCTGTCACCCACTCGGCTCACCTCCTCTGTGCTGGGAGTGGTGGTAGGTTGGCCCGGCAGCCTCCTCCTCTGCCAGAAGAACTTATTTATTGAATTCATGAATCAATGAAATCTTTGAGACCCTTATACTTCTCAATTCCTCAGACCAGTAATCTCCCTGGAACCTCCAAAATGATGTAGGGGGCAGAGATATGACTCCCAAACCTGCTAGATATCCAAAACGTGAATTTGTGCTCTCTAAAACCAAAGAATGAATTCTAGGAACAATGGAGGTTAAGAGTAGGAAAAATTTAATGGGAGAAAGAAAGCTTCTGCCTAAGAGAGACAGAAGGGGGATGGGAAAGGGGGTGGCCTGCCCATGTCACTTTTTAAAGATGTTTTATACAGCAAAGCCATGTGGTGAGGTGGATACCAAGTGGCAGAAGGTGTATTATTGAGGAAATAATGTATTCAATGTGATTAGAAAAATAAATCAAAGTAGACAGGTGCAGTGGTTTATACCAATAATCCCAAGTAATCAATAAGCTGAGACAGGATGATCATAAATTTGAGGCCAACCTGAGGCAACTTAGTGAGATTTTTTTCTAAAAATAGCTAAGTAAAAATGGCTGGGGATATAGCTCATTGATAGAGTGTGTCCTACTCAGTCCTGAGCATTGTCAAGAGGAAGGAGAAGTAAAGGAAGAAAGAAGAGGAGGAGAAGAAGGAGGAGGAGGAGAAGGAGAGAATAATAGAAGAGAGTGAAAAGAAAAATAAATCAAAGTATTGTTCAAGAGACAGAATGTGTTTTTAAGACGTAATTATACTGAGTAAAATAAGCAAATTTCTAACTATAGGAAGAAAGAATTTCATTATTGATATTCTCTACATGATTTTTTTCCATTTCCTGGATCATGGGGTAAATATGCAATAGAAGTAGAGAGTCTGCCCATAGGGGAAGGTCTTACCTGTGTCATTGGCTACCTCATTATCTGGGCAAGGGGTGCAATCAAAACAGCAGGCAGCCTTTCCCTCCTGAGGAGATTTCCTGAACCCAGGACTGCAACTCTCACTGCATACAGAGTGGGGGGTCTGGGGACAATCAGATAGGTTATTAACTGCTTAGATCATTACTCCTTCAGAACTAAAGTGATAAAATTAATTTGTATATACAGTGGGCCCTTGAGTTCCAACTTGTCTGACTTACAAACTTCAGTTATGACCAGAATTTCAATTTTTAACTTATGGTCAAAGTCTTGAGTTATGAGTCAAAGTCTTGAGTCACCGGTACTTCCAGATGGTCTCAGATACAGATTTCAGCCTTAAAGAGTCTGGAAGGAACATTCCAGCATCCTGTCTTGGATGGGGTTAATTGAGAAATCTTGGGCCAATGTCTCTCTAAGGACACTGAGATCTGCTGTATACAGGAGAGAGATTTTGAAGGAATGTATCAGAGCCTGAGCCTTCACTGACCAACTCGAGTTACAACCAGCCCTCAGGAATGAATTGAGTTTGTAGGTCAAGGGACAATTGTACAAAGAAATAAAATGATATAATTGAATATGTTTATTTACTAAAATGAAACATCATTTTAATAAAAGAATAGATTTATAAATATGTTCCTTTCCCATTGATCAGAAAGCTGATAAATAGAAAATGCTTCAAATTGGACTTTGAAATGTTCAAATTCCATATATGGCCATTTTATTACCAAAATTCTGGGCACAAAAACTTCAACAATAATTTGGTTATTTGTGATTAATGAAATTCATTATGATTACTGGTAGTTCCCACACACCTCTGTAATTCCTGTGGCCCACTCAATCATATCATCAGAAAAAGACATTTGTTGGTCAAATGGAGCATGTGGGGAAAATGTTCCTACTTTGACCTTAAGTCTAAGGCCTTCGGGAATGTTCCAAAAATTGAGAATGTCATACTCTGCATGCAATTTCCTTGTGTCATCCAAAGTCACTTGGTCTCCAGCAGGGTTGTCAAATTGGAGGTTCTTCAGAAAGGGGTGGAGCTAAAAGAGACATCCTGAATCAGATTCCATAATTAATGCAGAAATCATCAATGATGAAAAACTTAATGGTCTTTAATTCGTTTTTCATAATGCAATGTTAACAGTGGCATCAAATGAAGTATAACAGATAAAAGTTTATGGAGAACTAAGATATCACAATGTTCCTAAAATGTCATCTGGTTCCAGGAGAAAATACTTCATCCAAGCCTATTTAATCAAACAGTTTAGATATGTCTTAAGCAAAAGTCAAATGTGGAATCACTGCTTCCAACACACATTTTTTTCTCTGATACTTCTCTCAGCACCTATCTGCAAAATAAGACTATAAATACCAAAAGAGGTTGCAAAATTAAATGAGAAAATTCAAATAATGTATTCATTATACAGTTTAGCATGATTTGGATTTTTAAAAAAAATAACTAACACTTTTCCTGCTATTAATGACTTCATGAGAAATACTTAGATTTTAAAAAATGAAACCATTAGTTGGGCAGGGCGTTGTCATTGTTTGGAACCAAAGCAAAATCTTGCCTACTATCCAGCTCCTAATGTCTAGTTGCCAGTGGATTCTTAGCTGATGACCAGTTCTACTCAGCTCAATATTTGCCTGCATAATAATGAGTATGGTACATAACCTTTTGTATTTTAGAGAAAATATCCTACACTTCTTGTATAGAGAACTTGTGGAATAAATTAAGAAAGACATCTTGATACAGCACCTGACAACCAGTGGAAGACTCATTACCTGCCAGGAGGAAAACACCATTGATTCTTTGTTCCCAACTGGTTGCATTTGATCTTGTTGAAGAAGCATCTCATGGAGGGCATGGGCCACTGCATAAACACCATTGTATATATTGTAACTCTCATCACTCATAGCCGGGTCAAAACGATTCACAGGCAACCAGGCCAAAGAGGCATTGGGTGTACAGTCCTTCAATGCACAGTCAGAATCAGAAAAAGAGCAATGGAAATTCTGGAACCAATACTTAGTGAGGTAAGTGTCTTCTGGGTATTTGGAAGGGCTGGCTGCCTGGAGAAAATTTTTAAAACCAGAAATCTCTTCATGATGTATTGAAAAAATGAGAGTCCCATGGAATGAGCCAAGTATAAAATTTCTTCCAGCCATGTCAGCATGCCATTGTGAGTTTGTCACCCAGACTTGCCATGTCACTACATATTGCCCTATATTATAGGTTACATCATCTAGACCATCAGTATCATAGTAAATGATAACCACATTTACTGATGATGTTTCCGTGGTCAGGATAAATTTTTGCTGTACAACTGAGGCAAAGGACACAAGAGGAGTTGAGATCGTTTTCACAAATGCTACACAGATTCTGCTCTTGTCCATCTCCACTCTCACATCTGAGAGAAATTGAAGACCTTTATGACCTTCTGGGATGACCAGTCCCACCCAAGTCCAGCTAAAATGAAGCATCAATGAAACCATGCCAAGAGCCAGAGATGTATCCCTTTGGGCCACTTGATAGAGATAAGGAATGTGGCCATTGTCACTCACCATGGGGTCAAAAGAACTATACGTAACCTAAAAGGAAAAACATGGAAGCAATATAAGGAAGTACTCACATAGACACCTGAAGATTAGTAAGTACTAGCAGGAAGTGGTGGGGAAAAGATACTCTTTCATCTTTCTCATTATCTCAATGCTTACATGATTTTCTTTTTAGAAAATAACTTGCCAAACATAGCCCTCTAGGAAACCACTATGGTTTTTCTCTCCCTCTTCTTTGCTGCCTACAATAGAATTGTGACTAACCCACCAAGTCTGTGTACTGTACTTTTAAAATTATACATTCTAATAGATAAATAACCTAGTGTGTTAGTTATTTTTCTCATTGCTGAGACAAAATACCTGACACTCAAAGTTAAAAGGGGAAAAGTTTTTTTAGGTCACAGTTTGTATGACTGCATGAGGCTATGGGAGGACATCTAGACTCAGACCTAACCTTCCAACCCTGACCCACAAAGACTCATGTACATCCCTTTATGCAAAAGGGCATCTAGTCCATCTTCAAGAGTTGCCACAGTCCTATCTGTTTCAGCATTGCAGAAAAGTTCAAGTCCAAGGTCTCCCCTGATATTTAAGCAAATTCTTGGTCATAAGCCTCTGTATAAATGAAAAGAAAATCAAACACTTCCAACATTCAATGGCACAAGATAGACATTTCCATTCCAAAAGTTACAAACAGGAGGACACAAAGAAATGGGACCAAAGCACTTCCCAAACCCAAGAGGACAAACATCAAATCCACAGTTCCACTTCCAGCACCTGAGAAAATCTGTGAAGTCCAAAGGGGTTGGGTGGCTCCCCTCCTAGGGCACTCCTGGTGGTTGTAGCTCCAATGGCTTCTCTCTTGGTCTGGCTCTGCTCCCTCCTTGCAATTTTCCTCAGATGATCCATATTTCTGGGTTCTCCAAAGTTCTGGGGTCTCCACTGCACCTTTGGTTTCACACTTACAGCTTCATACACTGCCCTACTGGGGCACACTGCCTGGCCTCCCAGGTTTTCTGCAGTCTGAGTGGAAGCCTTCCTGACCCCACCACTCCTGCACTTTGCATGTGCCTAAAACCATATGGATGATACCAAAGTCTACTGCCAGCTGGAGCAGTAATCAGGCTTCCTTTTCTCTTGGCTGTAGGAGTCGAGCACCTATGAACAAAATCACAAAAAACAACTTCCCTAGGTCACAGCCATTCTGGAACATGGTGCTCTGGGGCTCTTTTCTCAAAGCAGTCTTTCACTTTTGCAATTTTGAGGTGGCAAAAGGTGGGGTCCTGCTCTTCTTGTGATTCCTTCAGGCTATCTTTTCTATTCTCCTGTTTCTTCTCAGCAATCAAGATCTCCTCTGCTCTATCTTTCTTTCTGGTACTGGGGATTGAACTCAGGATCTCACACTTGCAAGGCAGGAATGGAACCACTGAGTTAAATCCCTGGCCCTTCCTCTGCTCTATCTTTGTAGGCTACAAAATTACTGGAGTTTCCTTAATGGCTACACTCAAAATGTTTTAAATCATTCTTCTGGGCTCTTTGCTCTTGATCCCCAACATAAATCTGGCTAAAGCTCCCAACAGTATCCATGCCATGGGCTCAACATTAGACTGCCTTGAAATTTCTCCTTCTAGATTAATTAGACTTCTGTCATTAATCTCAATCTCTGGCTAAGGCTCTGGACACGAACACAATGCAGACAAATTTTGTGCCAATGCATAACACACATCGTCTGTAGTCCAGCAGCCAATGTGGTTCTTCTTCTGAGAAGAAACCTCCTGAGCCTGGTCTTTACTGGCTTTCTGATCTTCTGAGCTCTGATTAAAATCTGCCATACAGAACAACCCAAGGTGTTCCAGCTCTGCTCTTTCATAAAGCATCTCCAAACCTTTCCTAACTCTTCTCTTCCAACAAGCCAAGTCCAAAGGCTCTTGAGTTATTTAGTTAGGTAATGTCACAGAAATGACCTCACTTCTCTGGTACCAAATTCTCTCTTACTTTTCTTGTTGTTGAGACAAAATACCTAACACCCAAAGTTAAAGGTGACAGGTTTATTTAGCTCACAGTTTGTAGAGGTTTCATTCCATAATTGGCTGACTCCAAGGCAGGATGACTTGGTATAGGGGCTTCACAGAGGAGAAACAGTTATGGCAGCCACAAGGTAGTAAAAGCAACAAGGGACCTTAACAGCATCTTTCTGCCCCTTTTATTTTATCCAGGCTCCTGGGATGAGGATGGTGCCGAACCAACCAGTGGACTGATTTAGTAATCACACACCCTTAATCACAGCTTTACACCCTTTAGATTCAGCCACCTCTGAAGAAGCCCTATGAATGCATGAGGCTTTGAGGGAATAACAAGACACAAACCATAACACTGAGTCTTTTTTTGAAACCTATCAGAGGCACTGGAAAATGGAACTAACAAGGAAGTGGTTTCATTGTTCCAATCTGACCCACTCTCACCTGTGGAAATTTGTAGAGTTCTAGCAGTGGTTCAATTTGAGATGTTGCCCATGAGATTCCTGTTAGCACTGAAACAGACTTGGTCTCTGTTCTACAGGTGTAGTTTGGGATTTCATCCTCTCCTGTGAGTAAAATGAGGGAACTCTCCAACATCCTCCAGTGACTATAAAGAAAATTATGTGACTCATATCCTAGAGATATGTTGGGTAAAAGATGAGGATTCCTGTTGATCTCTTCTATGGCAAAAATGAAGGCAAGAACAGTCTGGTAGTTGTTAGACACAATCCTGTATAGAGAACATAGTGTTCTTTATGGAAAAGGCCCAATTCATGATTATTTTACAACACAGTACAATATGATTTATGGGATGATATCACAAATATCATTATATCATTTATGAGTTTCTCCCTCATAATCATATAATACACTCTATAATTGAATGGGATATTAGCAATTTGATTTTATGAGGTAACTGGGATTAAAGGAAGTCAAGATGGTGGATTTCTCATGAATGAGATTAGTGTCCTTAAAATAGTCAATTGAATCTTCATAACTGTACTGAAGACATACAGACAAGGTGATCACTAATAAAGTAGGAAGTAGATCCTTTTTTGATCTTCTTAGCCAATATGATGGCTAAAATAAATGATTTTTGTTCAGACAGGCACATGGTGACACATTTTCATGCAGCAGTCTGAGTAAGATAACATCCTAACTAAAGGATAAACAATTTTGAAATTCAATCTATCTTTAGATGAACTGGCACTATTCATGGGGCCAGTCTTAGAATTTATAAACAAATAACATAACTTTTGTTCTGGAAGATCTTACTAACTTCCACATAAATATCGCATGGGTTCTCTTATGTGAGAAAATCAAAGTATAAATTTAAAGAGCAAAATACATGATAGGAAATAGGGAGATACATTCAAGGCATTGGGAAGAGGATCTGAACATAGGAGGAGATAAGAAGGAGGTGAAGGGGGAAGTAGAAAGGAAGAAGGTGTGACATGTATATCACATCTTGCTATATAGTAATATATATGCCAATTCTCCACAATTAATGTATATACTATGTATCACAATCAGATTGTAGTGAAATTTTTTCAAAAGAATGAAAAACAGAGAAGCAGATGACATTCTTAGTGGATTTTATTAATGGCCTTTAGTATCAAGAACTAAAATAACTGCATGTGTTACACACCATGAACTGCTTCATTTCACATGAAGTCAGAAATACCAGTGATGAGAAAGAAGAATTTGAAATCAAATCTCTGTGGCAAGCAGAGAACATGGCATCTGTAATCATCATTACAGTGCTCCACAAGGCCTGAAATTAAATCACCCAAAACTCTGCCCCTCATAGTTAGGCATCTGCCACCAATAAAATCCAGGAAACTTAGATCAACTACAGAGCCCTGGAGGGAGTAGAAATCATTACAATATAGAGATATTTGAGAGAAGCATGAAGTATTGTCAGGACTGAAATTTCTTAGGAATCTCAGAACAGAGCACTATAAAATTTAAAATTATCAACTTTTCTTCTTAAAGTAGCAATGGAAAAATGAACATTTTGGCAGTGTTTATTCAAAATAGCCCTATTCTCTTCATCTTTCCTACAATTTGGAGCACAAAGAATCTCCGTGCCAATGATGAGTTCTCACATCTTTATTCCCTGATATCCGAAATTTCAACAAGAATAAAATACACTACTTTCTTGTTCTTTGTGTTAATTCTTGATCAAGTTCTTAGTTGATGGTTGCATCTTGTAAATTTTACCTGTGTTAGTGAGACAAACAGGTATTCTTTCTGATTTTGCAGTGGTGTATATCAAATGCTGGGCCTCCCACAGCCCAGAACGTGGACTCTCAATTGTCAGGTAGGGCTATCTATATGTGTCTAATAAATTAGACTTACTAATTTACTTTGGAAATATCTTATTAACACACAAAGATTACTATTTCTTTGAGAACTGGAATCTTGCAATTCCACAGCATAATGTCATATCTTGGGTTTGTACTACTTATTCTTCTTGGTCTTCCTACTCATCTTCTTACTTCTCCTCTTAATCAACACACATTTTACTTTCATTTTTCCCTTAACTTCTGAAGCTGTATTAAAATATTATTAAATATAAAACTCAATTAATATTTTTCAGTGATAATTTAAACCTCTATACCTTTATGAATGGCGAATGCATTTTCATGTTTTATTATTATGTTTTATTTATTAGCCTGTTACATCAAAAACATAAATCCAGAAGCTGGGCATGTTGGTTCACAACTGTAATGCCAGCCCTGAGGGAGGCCGAGGCAAGAGGATTGCAAGTCTAAGCCTAGCCAGGACAGCTTGATGACTTAGCAAGTGCCCATCTCAAATCTGAATCAATAAAAAGGCTGGGGATGTAGTTCAATGGAAAGGCTCTGAGTTCAATCTCCAGTACCACAAAAACCTCTCTTACTAACTGTTTCTTATATAAAATAAAATACAGAAAACAAAATCAAAGTATTTTTTTATGAAGTTAACATGAACTTCTTATAAATACCCTAAACAATTTGCACAAATAATTATCCTATATAGGTCATTAATTCCGATCATTTTAAAAAGTCTCATTTCTGCAAGGAGAACAGCATTACATTTATGGAAATATATACAGCATTTGATACCAACATGCATCTGTTTCTGGTTGAATACGTAAGTTGAGGAGAAGAATATTTCCTTAATATTATTATTTGAATGTAACTAAAACAGAATCTCCCTCCATGTTCATGCATGTGGAGAGTTGCCAGAGGTGATGGGTATATTATTTTGCTTGGTTCAATCACTTCATAATGTAAATACATATCAGCACAGAACCTGCATCCCATAAACAACTACAGTTACTTTTTGAAAATTAAAGACAAAATTGAAGATAAATAGAAACTCTTTCAAGTCAAAACTTAGATCTTGCTCCAAGACAAGAAATGAGCCACCAGGAGGGTAGGTGAAGGGTATTGTAATAATTTACTCCCTTTCCAGAGGATGCATTGTGCAAACTACTACTCCCTCTGTGCCTTCCAGACAGAACTTATGTCAAGAAAATTATAAGCCATGGATTGATAAAATGTATTCTCCTTTGAATGTTGTGGAATGAAAATTCTTTGCATTACATTCATGGATGTGGTTTATTACAGAAAAATTACACAGATTAATCTCAGTCAGAGGAAGAGGTAGATGGGCAGGACCATGAGAACTCCTAGCACAAGCTCCAGTTGTTTTCTGTCAGTGGTATCTCAGACAATGCTAAGTTCTCCTAACAGCAATATGTGCTAATATGCACGGACCACTCCCCATCAAGAAGGCTCCCCTAAGCTTGGAGTCCAGAGGCTTGAGGTGTTTTTATTATGTTTTAGGGGCTTAGTTGCATGGTGCTGTTGACCAACCCCACAGCTGACACGAGTCTCCACTGAACTGGTCATAAAATCTTTAACTCTCAAACTTTGAACATTTTTCTAGTCCTCCTTATTTTCCCCCTTTTAACTATTAGTCCATACTTGGGATGAAAATTCTTTAAGAAGCTGTGCATAGAGGCTCTTAGGGCAGAGAAGCTCAGCCGGTCCCAGCACCCGGAAGGAAGCTCCCCACCTCCATCCCAGGTTCCTAGGGCAGAGAAGCTCAGCTGGTCCCAGCACCTGGAAGGAAGCTCCCTGCCTCCATCCCAGGCTCCTAGGGCAGAGAAGCTCAGCCAGTCCCAGCACCTGGAAGGAAGCTCCCTGCCTCCATCCCAGGCTCCGAGGGCAGAGAAGCTCAGCCGCCTGGTCCCAGCACCCGGAAGGAAGCTCCCCCGCTGCCATCCCAAGCTCCTAGGGCAGAGAAGGTGAGCCGCATGGGTGCCAGAAGCACCCCCCCCGGCCGTGGAAATGAGAAGACACGTAAACAAGCCTCAAAAACAGACTTCCAGATCACCTACAGCAACCCCAAAGGGAAACGAGATGGAACA